ACACGGAGAAGGCGGCGAAGAAGGAGAAACTGACGGAGGGGAAGGGAGACGAGGCGGCGAGCTACGCGCCCAGAGGAGAGCAACAAACGCAAAGGTGGCACGCCGCACTCTTGGGCGAAGTGGGGCTGGCGGGCCCCGAGCCGCGACTACAACAGGGGCTGGTGCTACTACGGCGACCGGTGCCGCTTTTACCGCGGCGGCGCGTACACCCACGACAAGAAGGAGGAGGAGACGAAGAACAAGGGTGAGCACGGGGAGGGCAAGGACAAGGGGGACAAGGAGAAGGAGGAGGAGACGAAGCACAAGGAGGAGAAGGAGGAGAAGACGAAGGACAAGGAGGAGACGAAGGACAAGGGGGAGCAGGAGAGCGGCTACCACGTCCAGCTAGACGGGAGCGCGCTCCAGGAGACGGAGGATGAGCGCGCCTTCGACGAGCGCATCCGCCGCGAGGTGTTCCTGGCGGAGTGGCAGCGCGCCACCACGAGATCGGGGAAAAGCGTAGTGGTGTCGTCGGCGACGGGGGAGGTTCGCTTCTCCCCGCCGACGCCAGAGGAGGTGCTGGAAGAGAAGAAAAAGTTCAGTGACCTGCAGAAGGCCTTCTTTGTCCAGCAGCGAGGCCTCACAGCGAAGGCGGCGGAGATCGCCGCCAAGCACTCCGTCGCTGTCCAGGACCTAGAGAAGGACTGGGAAGCGAGCCAAAATAGGCGGAGGAGGAGGAGGAGGGGGAGGAGGAGGAGGAGGAGGAGGAGGGGGAGGAGGAGGAGGAAGAGGAGGAGGAGGGGAGTATGAGGAGCAGGATGGGAGGGGAGCCTGGAGAGGAAAATGATGAAAATCTTGTGCGCAAGAGGGGTGGCGGGGGACCTTGTTGACCCCCCTCCCTCCCCGCGGGGCCACGCGCGGGATTCCGAAGGAGGTCACGAAGATCGAGCGCGCTGCGTCCTGGAGGGCACAGACGTTCAGTAGCATTCACGAGAAAGCGATGTTGCGGACCTGTCTATGAGGCATGGGCGCGCCTAGTTCTCGACCCGTTGCATTTTCCATGCCCCGCGCGCCCTGGGGATAAACCATATTTTCCAGAATGGTTCAATGACATCAAAACGACAGAAACGCCCGAGAAGAAAGTGACCCTTGCTGGGTTCTCTCGTGGGTCTCTCTTCTGGGTCTTTCTTCTGGGTCCCCTTCTGGGTTCCCTCCTGTCGAACAGGTAACTTTCTCTGCAAGCGCGTTTGATGGGTAAGAAACGCCACAGGGAATAACGACGACGAGCGCGACCAAGTCCAAGCCATTTTTTGTTTGGCTTGACCTCTTGTTTTTGTCTTGTCTGTGCGTTCGTCCTATCTGCGGGGCTCAAGATGTCGAACAGGTAACTTTCTCTGCAAGCAAAATACTGCGTTTGATGGGTAAGCAACGCCACAGGGAATAACGACAACACGCGCGATCAAGTCCAAGCCAATTTTTGTTTTGGCTTGACCTCTTGTTTTAGTCTTGGGTATGCATTCGTCCTATCTGCGGGGCTCAAGATGTCGAACAGGTAACTTTCTCTGCAAGCAAAATAATGCGTTTGATGAGTAAGAAACGCCACAGGGAACAAAGACGACGAGCGCGACCAAGTCCAAGCCATTTTTTTTTGGCTTGACCTCTTGTGTTAGTCTTGTCTGTGCGTTCGTCCTATCTGCGGGGCTCAAGATGTCGAACAGGTAACTTTCTCTGCAAGCAAAATAATGCGTTTGATGAGTGAGAAACGCCACAGGGAACAAAGACGACGAGCGCGACCAAGTCCAAGCCATTTTTTTGTGGCTTGACCTTTTGTTTTAGTCTTGTCTGTGCGTTCGTCCTATCTGTACGGGTGTTTTTTGTTTTGCCAACAGAGAGACACAGCAAGGGAACCCAAGAGAGGGACCCAGGAGGGGGCCCAGCAGGGGACCCAGCAAAGGGACCCAGCAGGGGACCCAGGAGGGGACCCAGGAGAGGGACCCAGGAGGGGACCCAGCAGGGGACCCAGCAAAGGGACCCAGGAGGGGACCCAGCAGGGGACCCAGCAAAGGGACCCAGCAGGGGACCCAGGAGGGGACCCAGGGGGAGGGACCCAGGAGGGGACCCAGCAGGGGACCCAGCAAAGGGACCCAGGAGGGGACCCAGCAGGGGACCCAGCAAAGGGACCCAGCAGGGGACCCAGGAGGGAACCCAGGAAGGGGCCCAAGAAGGAACCCAGGAGGGCACCCAGGAGGGAAACACAACACCAAACAACACAGTCGCACTGCTACGCCCAGAGAAGCGAACGACACCAGCAACGGCGCAACGTAAGTGTTGACGTCGCGACAGTAAACACGAATCTGCCATAGCAAAACATTCTCACTGCGTGTTTCCAGAGGGCATCCTAAAAAAAGATGCCCCCCCGTTGTGGACGGCTCGAGCTGCCACAGCAACCGACCTCGCCGTACAACTCCTGTTTGCGCTGCTGCAACATGGCCGCCATCAACCCTGCGGTGGTGATGCCAGAGTGCCTGGGGGTGGCCCTCGGGCTCCAGGACTACGCGCCGAGCCTCTCGTTCGGCGAGGCGCTGCAACACATCGAGAACCTGAAGTTGACAGACCACCCGTGCATCGTGTCTAACAAGTTAGACACGCCAGGGCAGTGCAAGATCGGAGACCTACCAGCTGAGTTCGCAACGGAGTGCGGCAGGCAGATCGAGTACTTCGGCGACTTCGTGGGGGACTACGACGGCGAAACCCCTTGGCAAGATCTCCACGAATACGCGAAGACTTGCGACTACAAGGGCATGCCCGCGCCCTTCTCCTTGAAGAAGGAGCCGCAAGGGCAGTACTCCATGCAGGTGTTCGTTGTCAAGAAGGACGACGGCAAACACGACATTTTGAAGGACGTGATCCTCCTGGGGGTGAAGACCAGAATGGACTCTTGTATTCAAATGTGTCGTGGCACTTGTTTGGTATGGAAGTACGGCAACCAGTGCAGGGTTGGCCGCCTTGCCGTCCAGTGCATGCTGGAGAAACTGGAGGGCTACCAGTTACGCTACCACACTGCGGTCCCGAAGGCTGGCAGGGCTTCCAGGAAGACGGCGGAGTGGGAGGCCAAGGACAAGGGATACAAATACATCCGCGATAAGGGGCCTCGGAGCAACAATGCGAACCAATTCATGGAGTTCGCTGATCGGGAGAGTTGTCGGCCAGAGTCGCCTATCTTTGGATGGGAGGAAAGCCGCATCGAGAGGTCCCTGAGCAATTACGCGAAGGGCAGGGCGAACGCCAAGGGCCTCGCGATCTGGGTTCTGACGCTGCGCGACTTCGACCCCTGGTTCCTGAACAACGTGGTCAAGCCCATTCTGGCTTCGACCCTGAGGTCTTTCGGCGCGGCGTGGATCGGCAAAACGCGCGTCGGGAAGAGCGCTGGCTCGAAGACGCTGGCGTTCATGATGAGCCGCGTGGAAATTGCGGCGCTGGAGCAGAGCGGGGACGTCGAGGCGGGCGACGTTGCCCCGACGATCGTCACCGCCAAGCACTTCGACTTCTTCAAAGCGGAACCTGTCACCCGCGTCAGACCAGCAATCTTTGACGACGGCGACTTAGCCACGCAGCCGGCGTCAATTCTCAAGGCGTTCCTGAACCCTGCCGAGGAGGACGCCACACTCTGGGCTCGGTACACGTCGGCAGAGTTCGACGTCGGGTCTTCCGGTCAGGTGTGCAACAGCGCATACGACAAGGCATTCGAAAAAGAGCTCGTCTCCAAGTGGAAGAAGGGCATGCCGATGGACGTGGGCAGCGATGACTTCATGCGGCTCATACGGCCTTCTTTCCGGCAGGTCACGGACGACGAGGACTTGCTGGCCGTGACGGCGCGGACGCACGTGGTTGTCTTGACGGACACGCGCGTGTACTTCCGCCACGCGAGCGAAGAGGAGACCCGCGTGCCCTGGTTCACCTACACCAACCCGAAGAAGCCAGACTTGTTCAACCAGAAGTGCAAGGCGGCATTCGGCGAGTACAAGAAAGACCCGACCAAGCCCGTGTACCCTGCTTACTTCGACGAAGACATCAACTGGTCGATGGGCTATGTGAAGCGCCTCCTCAATGGCCAGGACGTGCCTGACTTGCCGACGGTGAGCGGCGCCGCCATATTCCCTGCCGCAGATGCGCCGCCCGCGCCGAGAGCGGCGGGGTACGACGCCTGGGGCGCTCACTTGATGAGCACTGTTGCGACCGAGAGCAGCGGCGCGGCGCCTTCGAGCGGCCCAGCGGGGTCCGCCCCCGCCGCCAGCACGGGGTGCGCGGTCGGGCTCAGCGACACTGACAAGGCTGAGCAGAAAAGGGCCTTCGACCTGATGCAGGAGCAGTTCTTCCAAATGAACGCGGGGGACTCTGGTGCGCAGATTGACCTGACGTTACCTCCTCGCAAGCGCCGAACGACTGACGCCGCCGCCGCCGCCCGCAGCTCCATGGACACGGCAGACGGCGACATTGACATTGACGAGGAGATCAGCCGCTTCATCGAGCAGGACGAGGAAGACCGCGCGAATGCGGAGGCCGCCGCCCGCGAGGAGGCCGATGGCATGACGGACTGAGCGGGCCGCGTGCGGGCGCTTCCAGCTCGGGCACGCACGGGGCGCGCGCCGCCGAGGAGGCGCGCGCCCCAGTGCCCCAGATGAGTTGATTGCGCGCCGCCGCCTCTTCTTTATATACACATATCTATATGTGCGATGCGAGGAAACGTGTTGCGCCGCGGGCCAGGGCGGCGCATGGCGTATTACCTTGGGCAGTGCAGCTTCTTCTTTGCATGTGCGATATGAGAAAATGATTGCGTCGTCGTCGCCCCCCAGAGCTCTGGTTGTCGGGTCGATCCAGTAGCCCCATTTGCCATCGGTTCTCATGCGCAGCGCCCGCACGCCGCTGCAAGTGCGATTGTCCGCAGCATTTTGTCTCAGTGGTTTGCGCCCTACCTCCTCCGCCGCCCCCCGCCGCTCCAGGGTGCGCCGCGCGCTGCCGCCATGGGCAACGGGTCCCGGACCAAGCGCAGGGGCGTGCTCCGAGCGGGCAAGGAGGCGCCGCGCAAGCCTGCAGGAAACGGCAAGCCGCTTGCGCGGAAGCCCGCCGCCGCGGCCCCCATGAGGAAGCCGTCCGCGGCCCCCGTGCGCAAGCCGTCCGCGTTCATCAGGAGGAAGCCCTCCAGCGTGCCCTACTTGCCGCCGACGGTCCCCGAGGGTGGTCGCTTGGTGTCGGACTCGCACAAGAGCAAACTCTTCCACGTGGAGATGCCCTCGTTTGTCGAAGTGTTGGGGATGAGCGATGCGGACGTGGACCAGGCCCTGCGCGTGGCTGGATGCATCCCGCCCACGACCGACCGCACGTGCTGGAAGTGCGGCTACGACATGGCGGAGCAGGAGAACGGCGACTTCAGATGCTGGATAAAATCGTGCCGTTGCACAATGAGCGCGTGGGCATTCACGCCGCTGCTGAACACGGGCCTGACGTCCACGGACTACTACCGCAGCCTATGGGCGACTGGTTGCGGGCTCGACCAGGCGCAGACTCACCGCGTGACGGGCGTGTCCAGGAAGAAGGTCGAGCTGCTCATGCCGCGCGTCGCGGAGGCCGCTGCGTGGAAGTCCATGAGAGATGCCGACAACTTCCAGCATTCCACTGGCGAGGTGGAGATGGACGCGTTCGCTTGCTCGGTTCGCCGCGCTGGCAGTGCCACCCAGAATGTGCACTCAGGCCGCGGCATCATGACCGTGGACCGCGCGACTGGCAAGCGCGTTATATTCCCTGCGAAGGACGCGGCCGTGCAGAAGGGCGCCCCGCCTCCTCCCGAGGACGCCGACGACGTCGCCCCCGCCATGGCGAAGATTGATCGGGAGCGCGGCCTGCTCAACACCGATGGCGCTCAGATCTACAAGAAGAAGGCCAAGGCCGCTGGCATCACGCACACGAGGACCAAGCGCAGCATCAAGCAGTTCGCCAAGACCGAGAAGATCGGGATGAAGGGCTTGGGGGCGGCCTTGGCCAAGATGGCCGCCAAGCGCCACAAGCAGATGAGGAATAACAAGAAGCGCACCGCGAGCTCCACGGCCACCACGCGCGCCAAGGGCCCCATGAAGAGCATCAAGGGCCCCATGAAGAGCACCAAGAAACCAGTGAAGAGCGACAAGAGCATGAAGGGCTCCAAGACGTCATTCCTCCTGACGCGGTCCTCGATCATCATGGCAGAGGCCAATATCGGCGTCGTGAAGACCAGCTTGTACAAGCGCGGCTACCTGGGGAAGCGCAGCGAGAGCATGCGCATGATGCCCCAGCTCTTCTACGAGAACACGCCTGGCTTGACTCCGATGCTGAACGCCATGGGGGAGTTCACGAAGTTTTTCTTGGACTCCTGCGACCCGTGGCAGCTGTTCGGCAACGGAAATTGGAGGGTAGTTCACCAGAAGGAGTGATCCCGCGGCCGCGGCCGATGCTCTCCAGGGCGGTGCCAGGGCGCGCCGCGACACGGCAGGTGGCCTGCTCTCTTATTATAAAGGGCCTGCTTTCGCTCAGCATGTGGCGACCACATACCCGCCTCGCATGAGCCCCGCGAAAACGAACGCCGCCTCCCTCGCAGCGACGACGGGGAAGGGGCGTATCGGGGTCAAATCAAAGGGGGGGGGCGTACTACTACTACTACTACTACTACTACTACTACTACTACTACTACTACTACTACTACTACTACTACTACTTCTACTACCGCTACTCCTACTTTCACTACTACTACTACTACTACTCTTACTACTACTACTACTACTACTACTACTACTACTACTATTACGACTACTACTACTACTATTACTACTACTACTCTTACTACTATACTACTACTACGACTACTACTACTACTACTACTACTACTACTACTACACTACTACTACTACACTACTACTACTACTACTACTACTTCTACTACCGCTACTCCTACTTTCACTACTACTACTACTACTACACTACTCTTACTACTACTACTACTACTATTACTACTACTAGTACTACTACTACTACTACTTACTACTACTACTACTATACTACTCTACTACTACTACTACCACTACTACTACTACTAATACTACTACTACTACTACTACTACTACTACTACTAGTACTACTACTACTACTACTACTACTACTACTACGACTACTACTACAACTACTACTACTACTACTACTACTACTACTACTACTACTACTACTACTACTACTAGTTACTAGTACTAGTACTAGTACTAGTACTACTACTAGTACTACTACTAGTACACTACTACTACTACTAACTACTACTACTACTACTACTACTACTACTAGTACTACTACTACTACTACTACTACTACTATTACTACGACGACTACTACTACATCCATGTAGCGCCCCTCACGGGGTAGAAACCAATTGGACTGGACTCAGTGTATTTGCTGGGGCGTCACGCTGTCACCCTGCTCATCCTTTCCTTATCATGCTCGTCCTCCTCCTCATTTTTCTCCTCGTCCTCCTCCTCCTTTCCCTTGTCCTCCTCCTCCTCCTCCTCGCCCTCCTCCTCCGCCTCCCTCTCCCTGCGTCGGGCGTGATGGACCATGGGACCTCATTGAGCCTCCTGGTAATCCCGGGGGCCTCCTGGGATAGCAACCTCTGGGGACTTCCTACGGCCTCTTGAAGCCTCGTGGGCTCTCCTAAGATATCCTCAGCCCTCCAGGGGCGTCCGCAGCGTTCTGGAACTTTTGGGTCGTTCAGGATACGCCCCGAGCGTGATGGGACCTTTTGGTGCCTCCTGGAGCGTCCTGGAGCCTCCTTAGGATTCCCACGGCCTCCAGGGACGTCCTGAAGCCTCCTGGAGCTTCCTGATGCCTCCTGAGACCTCCTGGGGCCTCTTGGCGGCTCTCTAAGAAGCCACGCGCGGGGCCTCAAAATTGGCGACAGTTTCAAGGATGGGAGCCTTCCCATTGAGAAAGAGGGCGCGGTGGACGTTGAAAAATGACAACAATAACACATTTGACGCCCAAAACCGTGCCGGGTGCCCCCCCCGCCATTCCCAGTCCTGCATGTTACGGTGCGATTTGCCCCCTCCCCGCTGTCCCGCCGGTCCCCGGGAGGGCTAGTTTGCTGGTTTTCGCTGGTGAAAAACACTTCCCCCCCCTCTCTGCGGTGACGGAGGGCAGGCGGCGGGGGAGGGCGGGTTGGCAGGGTGGCTGGTTGGGCACGGAGAGCAGGCGGAGGGGATCGGCTGGTTGGCGGGATGACGGGGTGGGCGGCTGGGCTGGTTGGCTGACGGGTTGGCGAGGTGGCGGGGTGGCTGGGTGGGCTGGCTGGCTGGTTGGACGGGTTGGCAGGTTGAGCTGGCTAGGGCAATTGGTTTCGACTACAACTACTACTACTACTACTACTACTACTACTACTACTACTACTACTACTACTACTACTACTGTATTACTCCGACGACGACGACTACGACTACTACTACTACTGCTACTACTACGACTACTACTACTACTACTACTACTACTACTACTACTACTACTACTACTACTACTACTACTACTACTACTACTACTACTAGTACCACTAATACTAGTAGTACCGCTGATACTACTAACTACTACTACTACTGCTACTACTACTACTAACTACTACTACTACTACTACTAACTAGCTACTACTACTACTACTACTACTTACTTACTACGACCTACTACGCTACTGCTACACATACTACTAACTACTACTACTACTAAACTACTACTACTACTACTCTCACTACTTCTCCTACTACCACTACTACGACTACTACTACTACTACTACTACTACTACTACTAACTACTACTACTACTACCCTACTACTAAACTACTACACTACTACTACTACGACGACGAACGGCTAGGAGCTACAACTACAACTACTACGACTTCTACTACTACTACTACTACTAATACGACTACTACTACTACTACCAATACCACTCCACCACCACTTCCTACCTCTACTACTCCTACTCTCTACTTACTCTCTACCACTACCACTACCATACCACTAACACTCACTATATTACTAAGCTACTACTACTCCTACTACTACTACTACTCTAATACTAATGTCTTTCATTCTGCCTACTTCTACGACTACTACTACGGTGTTGTATGACTAGTGCTACATACTACTACTACCTACTACTACTAACTACTACTAACTACTACGACTACTACTACTCTACTACTACTGCTACTGCTACTACTACGACTACTCCTGATTTACACCTACCACAACTACGCAACGACTTCTACGACTACTACTACTCCTTGCACTACTACTAGTACTACTACTACTACGACTACTACTACTTACTACTACTAACTACCACTACTCTACTAACGCTTACTACTACGGATCTACTACTACTACCCCCTACTAACTACTACTACTACTACTACTCTACTACTACTACTCTACTACTACTGACTAACTACTACTAACTACTGCTACTACCGCTACGACTGCTACTACTACGACTACCACTAGCACTACTACTACTACTACTACTACTACTACTACTACTACTACTACTACTACTACTACTACTACTACTGCTACTACCGCCACTACCGCTACTACTGCTACTACTACGACTACTACTACTACTACTACTACTACTACTACTACTACTACTACTGTAACTACTACTACTACTACTACTACTACTACTACTACTACTACTACGACTACTACTACTACGACTACTACTGCTACTACTACTGCTACTACTACTACTACTACTACCACTACTACTACTGCGGCACTGCTGAAAGGACGAATATGAAGCACACCGAACGACCGAATTCGAAAATAGGAGAGAGCACAAAGCGCAACGGAAGGAAGCACCGCAACTTAAGCCTTCCTAGTACCACCGGCTGCACAATCGTGTTGCTGAATGAACTTTGCATACGGGTCCTGATGCACATAACGGTCAGCTATGGCTTCCGGCACCTCGGGCCCGGGGACATCGGCTTTGACGTCTGACGGGCAGCCTTCCAAGAAAACAGCGGCCAAGAAACGACAGAGCTGCGACGGGTACTGCTTGAGCGCGGCCGTCCTGTAAGTCCCCAGAAGGAGGAAAAGGAGGAGGAGGAGGAGGAGGAGGAGGAGGGGGAGGAGGAGGAGGAGGAGGAGGAGGAGGAGGAGGGGGAGGAGGAGAAGGAGGAGGAGGAGGAGGAGCCCTCGCTCCCCCCTCCTCGCAGCCGCAAAATGTCCACCTGGGTGCCGGCACCTGCCCCCTCCGCGCCAACACCTGGCCAGACGGGGAAACGAAGGCACGTGGACACCCAACGACCTCGTGGGCTTGCGATACTCACCGCCCATCATGCACTGGTCTATGGCGATGGTACTCCAGATTTCGTAATGAAGGGAGGGGGGTCTCATTTCGGGGGGGGTCTCTTCCAGGCTATCTTGGAGGGCCTGGGGGGGTCTGGGGACAATGTTTTGGAGGGTTCTCCCACGGGGAGGGGTCTGAAATGGCTTGTCCTGGAGGGTCCTGGTCCAAACCCCCTCCCTTTTATTACGAAATCTGGAGTACACTTAAGTCGGTCGTGTCCCCCTACAGGGGGATTTATTTTGGGCGAAAAATTAAGAAGTACGGAGAACAGATACCCCCCCAATGGGCAAACACTGTCAACAACTCGTCCCCAAACTATCATTTCACTATTTTTGAATGTTTTCCTGTAGAGGGACAGGCCCGACATATTGGTACATGCCTCGCGCGACCCGGCAAACCATGAAAACTCGTGCAACCTCCAGGATGAGGCCGAGCCTTCTCTGAGACGACACCTCCGGGTGTTCCATGATGGCGCACACGCGGGCCACGACCGCCGCCAGGAGAAACCTTCCCACCATCCTCCTTGCCACCGCTCAGACGTCCATTCCCTGTGCATGTTTCGGTTTCGTGCGTGCTTTTGTTTGCTCGATGATCCAGGATGCTCCTCCAGGGTCCTCGCCGAAAAAAAGCACACGTCCGAGCGATGCCAGGCCTCAGGAGCTCATTTCCAACCACAACCTGCCCCCTTTGAGCCCCTTGAGGCCCCACTGCACCTCATGGAAAAGCACAGACCTCGGACCCTTCCTATAACGTCGGTCCTTGATTGGAACCGGACGCGCCGTAGACCGAGCTTCACACGGAGGGCCCGCTGGGAGCCCGACGAAGACGCCCGTTGCCAACGACCCATGCCATAAACGAATCGAGACCTCATTCTAGAAGATCCCCTCTCACCAGATTGTTCGCCACGTGCAGGGACAACATCCATAGTGGCCGACCACGCAGGGTAGAAACATTCCACTCTTCCAACCACGCTGCAAGTCCTGGGGCCTCTGCTGGCCCGAGAGAAAGTGTCAGTGAGCATAGCAGAACGTGTCACGCGGGATCTGGGGGACGGGGTCGGGCTCGCCTGGACCGAACTCGCGAGCCCGGTCGCACCCATCCGCATGAGGGGCCACATCAGGGAGGGGCTCAGAGGCAGGCTGGAAAACCGGCCCCACAAACCTTCACGCGGGCAACATCGCTTTTTTTCTTCATAGTGTCTGGCAGCACGCAACGACGTACTCAACCTCACATCCTCCTCCTTCTCCGCCAGAGTGACCGCAAATGGGCGTGGGGGAAGAAGCTCGGTAACAGCTGAGAGGCAACAGCGACTCCGATGCCTAAGATGTGTGTATGAGATGTGTGTATGAGTGTGGGACTCCGTCCCACACGCTCCACACTGGTTGCCATGAGCAAAGAAGAGGGATCTGTCCCAAAAGGGGCGACGCTTACTCACGTGAGCCTTCCACAACGCTGGGGTACGGAAAGCCTGCTGGCACTCATAAGAAACAAATGCTTGTTGCGCCTGTGGGAAATCCGGGCAATGCGGGGGACGAGGGACGCCCGCCACCGCCGTGCGAGCCAACTCCCTCCGCCACTCTACGAGGCGACATTGGTTCCTATGCTAAAAAAGAATCGCCTTCCAAGCACCCCTCACCAAAATCGCAAACCCCTCGGGATTGCTCCGGTCCCAATGGACCCTCTTCTTAAACTCGACAGGGAAACTCCGCGAGCCCAAGAGGGCTAAATGCATATAACTCATCCAAGCCCTGCTGGACCAGAAGGGACCAACAGCCCAGGACACCCACCTGGACTTCCAGCAGCCGCAGCAGCTGCATCCGTGCCGAGCGGAGCACTCTGCCAAGGTACTGCCTCCTAAACCACAAGAGGGCCTCCGGGGGAGCAAAGCCCCGACCCTAACAAGACACCCTCATCGGACGGCAACCTCCCCTCCTTCCATCCCTCGTGAGAAGCTTTCCTCAACGCTTCGATGTACGTCGCAGAAAACGCCTGCCATGACTTGCAACGGAGACGGTGCGAAACTTCAGAGTTACTAGCACACGCGTGCATGCACCAGCGCGCGCGCGAACAAAAGCTTCGGCTCCGGGGGCATCTCTTGGGCACGGTGCACAGCTTGATTCAGGGGGCGCAGGGCCGCACGGGCCGACTGGCGGCGATTGGCCAAATCAGGGCCGAGCTCGCCACTCGCATCCCCCATGCTTCCGAGGGGCCCCTCCTGCCTCGACGCCGAGACACAGGTCTCCACATGCAGGAGCCAGGCCTTCCTGCGACGACTCACAAACAGGTCACGCTCCACCGAGCGTTTGGCAGCTCAGCGCACGGCCACAAGGACTTTCGCCTTGTCTCCAACAAAACTGCACCTGAAGCTGTACTTGGCCGAAGCGGCTACGATGGTGGTGAGCGCCGGGGCGACCACGTTTCACAAAAAAAATCCGCGAGTGCATTTCCTGGCATACCCCCTTCCTCGCTAGGGAAAAGTCTGGCACGCATGCCGCAGTCGACCATACTGAGCGTTGCGTCTCCGATGGCAGACGCATCAGATGTGGGGGGACCTTACCCTCGAGCAAGGGGGGGAACATGAACGCTTCTTGTAAGGCGGGCATTGCCCACTGGGGGATGTCAATCGCACGGGTGGTATCCTGCAGGTCGCCTGGATCCGTCCGTAACCTCACGACAAACTCCCGAACCACAATATAGAACACGATCACAACGTCCACGGCCGGGACAAACACGGTTCTCTTCTTCTGAGCAGCCAGCGTGAAAAACTTACCAACATATGTGACGCGAACGCCGTGCCACGCGTTTTGCGTCCACCACATTGCGCGTCCCTCAGCAATGCGTCGCAGAAGGTCCCTAGGGCCTCCCGCAGGAACGAGTAACGAAGCTTTGGGATCGTAATACCTAGGGCGATCGCATGGTAGCTGGCGCGGAGTGCCCACAACCCCTTCCCATTGAAGATGTACATCGCCTCAATTCCCATTTGACTCCAGATATTCCTCCTCCTCCTGCTCCTCCTCCCTCTCCTCCCCCTCCTCCTCCATACGCCTACTTACTCCTCCTCCTCCTCCTCCTCCTCCTCCTCCTCCTCCTCCTCCTCCTGCTCCTCCTCCTCCTCCGTACCCATATATTCCTCCTCCCCCATATTCCTCCTCCCCCACATTCCTTCTCATCCCTTCCCCTCCCCCACCCCCTCCCCCTCCCCCTCCTCCTCCTCCTCCTCCTCCTCCTCCTCCTCCTCCTCCTCCACCTCCTCCTCCTCCTCCCCCTCCCCCTCCTCCCCTGCGTGCCGCACGCCGCGCGCCCAGAGCGCGCGGGGCGGCGCCGAGGCAGAAACGGTCTCTCGACACCGCGGCCCCCCTCGCGGAGGCACGGCCCTGCGCCTCCGCGCGCCGCCGCCGCGGCCCGCCTTCGGGTTCTGCGGCTCCAGATCCAGGGCCTCCTCGTTGGACGCCCGAGATGGGCACGGAAACAATGGGCACGATGCCCGACAGCAAATGTTGCCCCAAGCCAACAGCGGCCGCCGTTGGGCAGGCGGCCCTCCTGTCTCGAGTGGGCACGGGCCGCGGCGGCGCGGACAGCGAGCCCTGTTCACAAGGAGCAGGAGAGCTGCTGTTGGGCACTGTGCCCATTCTTTCCGTACCCCTTTCGGGCGTCCAGATGTCCTCGCAGCACTCCAGGGCCCTGTGCGCCTCCGCCGGCTCGGCCTCGGAGGCGGCGCTCTCGCGAGGAGGGCTCCGCCGGGGGGGGGGGGGCCCTCCGCCGCTCGGCTGGCGGCGAGGCGGCGTGCCACCACGGCCAGCGGAGCTCTCCGCGCCCTCTGGCTCCACCCTCCTCCTCCTCCTCCTCCTCCTCCTCCTCCTCCTCCTCCTCCTCCTCCTCCTCCTCCTCCTCCTCCTCCTCCTCCTCCTCCTCCTCCCCCCCCCCCTCCACCTCCTCCTCCTCCTTTCTCTCGGCTCGTTCGCGGAGTGGGGGCACAAGCGAGTCTTCAGCTGTGAACGCCGTGCTCAGAAATAGGCCTCCCGATCCTGAACGATTGAAGGGGCCCTGAGACACACAAATAAATACACACCAATAAAAGGATTCCCAATATTTTCCTATATTTTCTGGGTTCTTGTCTTCCCCCCCACTTCCCATATTTTCCCATACTTCCTGGGGATCGTCGATTAATTGTGTCTGTGTGTTCTCTTCCCTCCTGAACGATGCGTATGCCATGGGTGCACATGCTGCAGACGCGCGCGTGCATCCGAACAGCACTGGCCGAGAACTGGGGTTGCACCAGCAATGCCACGAAATAGGTGTTTTGTTCAAGGTGCCGCTGAAAAGTGGCATTGCGGGGCGAGCCTGTCGAATTCACCCCCCCTCGATTTCCCTTCCTACCCCCCTGCCTCGGATAAATTCCGCTCCCCCTCCCCTTTTGTTTCCCCATCTGTTTCCTGGCCATGGGCCGGCCCGAGCACTCCTGTATAGTGACGTTCATGAAATGATGCCTTGACATCATAAACTAATGTAGGTTGCTCTAGAGCTCTAGAACATCGACGCTCATGACAGCGACTGCCTGAGTGCTCTCCTCCATGGGGTCCACCAGGGCAATCATACTGGGCAAGGCCCCCCATCAACAAAGAAACCTCTGAGGCCGCTGCGACCCACCTCCTGATAATGGATAACCCGCAGTGTTCACCCCTTCCTAGCAAAAGAGAATTGACAGAAACTCGAATCCGGCATGTCCGGACCTGCCTCACACAACTTAGCGAGAGGTGGACGGCGCGCGCGTTCCCTGGCAAGGGTGGGTAGCGGGTAGCGGGCCTTCAAGCAACACAACGCAAGGTTCAGCAGTACTGGTGTGCGGAGAGCGCCCGCACGCGCGCGCAGGTTGTCCTCGCCGTCGCCCAGCTTGCGAAGATCGAGAAGCTCGAGAGCCTCCCATTGATTGCGGGAGGGTCAGAGTAAACCCGCCACACCACTCACATGTGCACTCGCATGGTTGCACGACGCACGCGCATGCAGACAAGCGTGCACATGGCCGCATTGACACACACCTTAACTAACGCGCGAAGCTGAACCACCGATGCGTGCTCCCAAAGTAAACTCGCGAGAATTGAAAGGACCACGCGGAGCCCACCTCGAAACCCGCGCCGCCAACCAAAATGAGAACCCTGGGAAGCAACACCCGCACATGGTTGTGTGCCAACTACCCTGCGGATTATATTCACCTCATCAAATCCCTTTCCACATTTGTCGTCGCACACTGGTATTGTAGATCTGTGCTGGGGAATGTGTTTTGGGCAACTCAGGCACTGGAGCGTATCCAACATATCATGCCACTTGGATGGTAGGGCTCAGACGCCCAGACGCATGCGATGGAGAAAAAGGCATGATGCCCGCAAGCACCTGCTTCGCAAACCTGTTGATGATCAAGCGCTGGAGCGTGTGCAACATGGAATAATACATGTGGCGAACATAATGTCGAAAGTGGGATGGAGGTCGAACGGCAACCGGACGGACATCGGAACGCGCAGGGGCACTTAGCAACGCATGACATATCTGGCGGCCCGTCACCCAGCGATATCGTTCACACGCGGTTTGGATATCCAGAATCTTTGTTCCCAACCATCCTGTGGTGTTGGGTCCTCGTTTTGGAGAGACGGTGCCGCGCGTCTCCTCCTCTCCTCTCCTCTCCTCTCCTCTCCTCTCCTCTCCTCTCCTCTCCTCTCCTCTCCTCTCTCTCCTCTCCTCTCTCCTCTCCTCTCCTCTCCTCTCCTCTCCTCTCCTCCTCCTCCTCCTCCTCCTCCTCCTCCTCCTCCTCCTCCGCCTCCTCCTCCTCATCCTCCTCCTCCTCCTCCTCCCCCTCCTTGCCGTCTCCGCATGCGTTTGTTTCGGCACACAAACACACACATTTCACACGCTTCGTGGCACCATAGGGAACCCCATCTATGGTCCCAGTGGCGCAGCCCGCATGGCGGCGCCGCCCCATTCCGGCACACCCCTCACACTTGTTGTGGCCCCATAGGGAGCCCCATCTATGGTCCCAGTGGCGCAGCCCGCATGGCGGCGCCGCCCCATTTGGGTACACCCGTCACACGCTTCGTGGCCCCATAGGGTGCTCCATCTATGGTCCCAGTGGCGCAGCCCGCATGGCGGCGCCGTTCCATTTTGGCACACCCCTCACACGTTTCGTGGCCCCACAGGGAGCTCCACCTGAAGTCCCAGTGGCGCAGCCCGCATGGCGGCGCCGCCCCATCTTGGTACACCCCTCACACGCTTCATGGCCCCATGGGGAGCCCCATCTTAGGTCCCAGTGGCGCAGCCCGCATGGCGGCGCCGCCCCATTTTGGCACACCCCTCGCGCGCTTCGTGGCCCCATGGGGAGCCCCATCTATGGTCCCAGTGGCGCAGCCCGCCTGGCGGCGCCGCCCCATTCCGGCACACCCCTCACACTTGTTGTGGCCCCATAGGGAGCTCCATCTAAGGCCCCAGCGGCGCTGCCCGCATGGCGGCGCCGCCCTATTGTGGCACGCCCCTCACACGTTTCGTGGCTCCTCACACGTTTGGAAACCTTCTCTCCGTCTCGTGGACTCTCGCCCTGGGCCGTCGGCTGTCCAGCGCGCTGCCCCCTCGGCCGACGTCGCCCAGGCGTGATCCTGGACTGCGGCCGCCACGAGGTGGGAAACGGCAGGAAGGAGGACGACGACTGGCGGCTGGAGCTCTACGCGCTGCTCTCGCGCGCCACGCGCCACGAGGACCTCCTGCTCACGCGGGCGCCGCTCATCGATTTCTTCCCGGCAGGGCCGCCGGAAGGATTGCGGAAACAGCTGGAGCAGTTTGCTACGCGCACGAGGCGGCGCAGGATGGAGGCGACGGCCCTCGCCAAGGAGCTGGGCTTCACCGAGTTTATCCGCGAGGCTTGACTTGAAAAGCGACCCGCCCGAGCCTCGCCGTCTCTCGACAGTCTGACTGTTTGGCTTCGCGCCGCGGGCAACCCGCGCGCGTCGCTTGGGCCCTCTCGGAGCGACCACCGCACGTCGCGGGAATTCCGCGCTGCGCTCTGCCCAGAGCCTTGCTCGCCCCCGTCGTCTCTCTGCCCGGCGGCCACAGCCCTGCCCGCTATCAGCCAGCCAGCTCTCTCTGCTCCGCGTAGCGGACGACCCGCGCGCGTCGCCGGGACCCCTTCGGGGCGACCGGCGTGCGTCGCGGGGGCCCCGTGTGGCGCCGCGCCCGCAGCCTCGGACATGGGCGCGCACGGACAAAGAGAGAGAGAGAGATAGAAAAAAAAAACGGGAAGGAAGGGGGCGCGATCCTCGGGAGGAGCGCGCCGACATGGGCGTCGACGCTTATGCAGGTGGACCGATTCGCACGCAGACTCATTCACAATCAAACTCACTCGCGCTCAGTCTCTCGCACGCAGACCTACCGTCTTCGCTCGCGTCGCGTGCCCCGCCACGCATCTCGGCGCGCCCCTCGCACGGTTCGTGGCCCCATAGGGAGCGCGGACAAACATGAGATTCAGAATTGCGGTATTCACAACTGCGCATGGTTGGGTCCTTCGCCAGGATTATTTGTACCCCCCGCCTGTGATTCTCGAGCTCAAAACAAACAATAACCGAGTGATAATGCAAAGACATCAGAGCAATTTGTTGGGAAAACGGAGTGGGTACCAAAAGCATCCTTCGAGCTCGCATACAACATCCAAGGGAATCAGCTGAAAATCAATGTGCGGTCTTGGCCCGCCTTCGGGCCTGATTCTGACATTATTGGGGCGTTTTCGGTCTTCAGGGCCACAGCGGCGCTATCACAACTATGTGTAGGAGAAAGACGAACCTAAACGTACTGATACGATCCTGTCGAAGGAGCCAACTATTTACAATTGTGAATGCCGCGTTGTGGGTACCGCTGTCGGTGGAACTCCCGATGAGGCAACGACGCGCGTGAGCGGTGTGCCGACCTGGGGCAGGGACCACATACGAGCCCTTTCCGCTGGGGCCTTCGGTGCAGCTCCCGATGAAGCCACACAACGTGCGAAGGGTGTGCCATGCGAACCTTCCCACAGGGGCCTTGGGTGGAACTCCATATGGGACCACGAAACGTGTGAAGGGGTGTGATGAAAAAGTGGCGAAGCCGCCATGCGATCCCTGCCACTAGTACTCCGGTGGAGTTCCCATATGGGGCCACGAAGCGTGTGAGCCCAAGCAGCCTCGAAAGTAGTGGCGACAATTTCGCAAATCGCAGCTCCCCAGGGATGACGAGGTCGCGTCTACCCACTATAGTTGGCCCCCCAAGCAGTCTTCGAAAGTGGCGACTGTTTCGTAACTCGCAGCCCCCCAGGGGTGGCAAGGTCTAATTTTGATCTGCGGCGGCTACCCACTATGCTGCCCCCCAAAGCAGCCCTCGACAGTGGCGATAGTTTCGCAAATCGCAGCTCCTCCCCAGGGATGACGAAGTCTAAGTTGGGTCCGTGGCGGCTACCCACTATGCTGGGCCCCCAAGCAGCCCTCGAAAGTGGCGACGGTTTCGCAAATCGCGGCTACCAACAGATGGCGAGGTCTAATTCGGATCTGCGGCGGCTAAAACCCACTATGCTGGGCCCCCCAGGGAAAGTGGCGACGATTCCGCAAAAGTGGCGACGATTTCGCAAATCGTAGCCCCCCAGGGATGGCGAGGCTACCCACTATGCTGGGCCCCCACGCAGCCCTCGAGCGTGGCGACGGTTTCGCAAATCGCAGCCCCTCCCCAGGGATGGCGAGGTCAAATTTGGTTCTGCGGCGGCTACCCACTATGCTGCCCCCCCCCTCAAACAGCCCTCGAAAGTGGCGACCGTTTCGCAAATCGCAGCCCCCCAGAGATAACGAGGTCAAATTTGGGTCTGCGGCGGCTACCCACTGTGGTGGACCCCCAAGCAGCCCTCAAAAGTGGCGACGGTTTTGAAAAAAGCAGCCTCGGAGGGCTGACGATGTCTAATTTGGGTGTGCGGCGGCTACTCACTATGCTGCCCCCCAAGAAGCCCTCGAAAGTGGCGACCGTTTCGCAGATCGCAGCCCCCCAGGGATGGCGAGGTGTACTTTGGATCTGCGGCGGCTGCCCACTATGCTGCCCCTCCCGACAGCCCTCGGAAGTGGCGACAGTTTCGCAGATCGCAGCCCCCCAGGGATGGCGAGGTCTACTTTGGGTTTGCGGCGGCTACCCACTACACTTGGCCCCCAAGCCGCCCACGAAAGTGGCAACAATTTCGCAAATCGCAGCCCCCCAGGGATGGCGAGGTCTAATTTGGATCTGCGGCGGCTACCCACTATGCTGCCCCCCAAGCAGCCCTCGAAATGTGTGACGATTTCGCAAATCGCAGCCCCCACAAGAATGGCGAGGTCTAATTTGGGTGTGCGGCGGCTACCCACTATGCTGCCCCCCCCCCAGCAGCCCTCGACAGCGGCGACAGTTTCGCAAATCGCAGCCCCCCAGGGATGGCGAGGTCTACTTTGGGTCTGCGGCGGCTACCCAGTATGATGTACCCACAGCAGCTCTCGACAGTGACACCAGTTTCGCAAATCGCAGCCCCCCAGGGATGGCGAGGTCTACTTTGGGTTTGCGGCGGCTACCCACTACGCTGGCCCCCCAAACAGCCCTCGAAAGTGGCGACCGTTTCGCAAATCGCAGCCCCCCACAGATGACGAGGTCTAATTCGGATCTGCGGCGGCTACCCACTTTAGCTGGCCCCCACAGCAGCCATCGAAAGTGGCGACCGTTTCGCAAACCGCAGCCCCCCCAAGAATGTCGAGGTCTACTTTGGATCTGCGGCGGCTACCCATGATGCTGGCCCCCCAAGCAGCCCTCGAAAGTCGCGACGGTCTCGCATATCACAGCCCCCTCCCAGGGATGGCGAGGTCTACTTCGGATCTGCGGCGGCAACCCACTACGCTGGCTCCCCAAGC